TGGTAAGTTTGCTCGTTTATTTTCTTCATTTCACTTAGCTTAGTTCCTTTGGGGAATCAGTCTGGAGCTTTTTCCCTCAAGTGTACCGAGGTTAAACTTGTTTCTTGAGATGACGTCTCATTAGAGAGTTTTTCACTTGTTTTTGCTGAATCAGTCAGATTGAGTACAGATATCGGAAGAGTACCGTACTTTGAGAGTTGATTATCGCCGGAAATATAGCTCGGGTGCACCTAGCTCACCCTTTTCGAACTGCTCTATCAATCACACTTACTTTCATACACCTACTATCTCCTCTTCCTTTATCATTCTAACAAAGCACTCTCTTTGTCCTCTCTCCCTCTCTTCCACTCAGCTACGACATGGTGCACTTTGGCCACGCCAATCAGCTCCGCCAGGCGAAGGCAATGGGCGACTGGCTGGTGGTGGGCGTCCACTCCGACGCCGAGATCATGCGCCACAAGGGGCCGCCGGTGTTCAACGAACAGGAGCGCTACCGCATGATCCGGGCCATCAAGTGGGTGGACGAGGTGGTGGAGGACGCCCCTTACATCACCACGCTGGAGACGATGGACAAGCACGGCTGCGACTTTTGCGTGCACGGCAATGACATCACCCTGGACGAGCACGGCCTCGACACCTACCGGTACGTGAAGACGGCCGGCCGGTACCGGGAGTGCCGCCGCACCGAGGGCGTCTCCACCACGGACATTGTCGGGCGGATGCTGCTGATGACGAAGAGTCACCACCAGCACCGCGACGAGGAGGGCCGGGTGGACGCGGCCACCAGCGACCAGATTCGCCTGGGCGACACCGGCACCACGCACAGCCCTTGGACGGGCATCAGCCAGTTTCTGCCGACGACGCGCAAGATTATCCAGTTTGCAGAGGGCAAGGACCCGCGCCCCGGCGACCGCATCGTCTACGTCGACGGGGCCTTTGACCTGTTTAGTGAGTGCTGCTGATGATGATAAGAGGGAAGTGAGTGATAATGGAGGGCTAATCTCTCTTTGTTCCATCCCCATTTGCAGACATTGGTCATGTGGCCTTTCTGGAGAAGGCAAAGGCGGAGGGNGATAAGAGGGAAGTGAGTGATAATGGAGGACTAATCTCTCTTTTCTTTGCAGACATTGGTCATGTGGCCTTTCTGGAAAAGGCAAAGGCGGAGGGCGACTACCTGATTGTGGGCCTGCACACTGACCAGGTGGTCAACGGGCGACTGGGCAGCAACTACCCGCTGATGAATCTGCACGAGCGAGTCCTCTCGGTGCTCGCCTGTAAGGTAATATTGGGCCTTTTGATGATGCTTCTTGATCGGCTAACCAAATAATCATCTTCACCACCTACTTAGTACGTGAACGAGGTAGTCATCGGTGCGCCGTACACCGTCACCAAGGAGCTGCTGGACCACTTCAAGGTGGACATGGTCCTTCACGGCAAGACGGGCATCATTGCCGACGCACAGGGCGAGTTTCCCTACAAGGTACCACTACTANCGGGCGTTTTGATGATGCTTCTTGATCGGCTAACCAAATAATCATCTTCACCACTTCAGTACGTGAACGAGGTGGTCATTGGTGCGCCGTACACCGTCACCAAGGAGCTGCTGGACCACTTCAAGGTGGACATGGTCCTCCACGGCAAGACGGGCATCATTGCCGACGCACAGGGCGAGTTTCCCTACAAGGTACCACTACTAATTGCAAGTCAAACACAAGCTTTAATGTCCTTTTTTTTCTCCTCCTCAGGTGCCTCGCGAGTTGGGCAAGTTCAAGGTGATCGACAGCGGCTGTGTGATGGGGACGCGCACCATCGTCGATCGCATCATCCAGAATGCAATGCAGTTTACGCTGCGCAACATCAACAAGGAGAAGAAGGAGATTGAACTGCTGAAGCAACAGGGCGAAGAGGAAAGTACTGTAGACACCTCTGCACCAACATCTCAATGATGGATGGATGGATCGATTGCTTATTGTGATAACTTCACCGCCAACATTAGAGCGCTGCTGCTAGTTAGGGCACTTCTATTCTATTTATATGACCAGTTGTAAACAAGAACCATCATTTCCCGCTGTGCTGATTAAAGCTAAATAAAAATTGTTAATTACAAATTAAAAGTTTGCCTAGAGACTTTTTAAATAAACCCGATTTGTTTTGCTAAATTATCCTACTTTGGTGCAGTCTCGTCTGGTTCTTTTGCCATGTTTGTCCAGCTGACACCAGACGGCGACAGGGGTTCCATAAAGTTTGTTTTCCTGGTATTCTGAACACGAGAAAAATAAAATTCACGGGCCATTTTTTGACGCCACTTTCAAGATGGCGACGCTGGTGGCGTTCCTAGCGGACAACGTCGGAAACTATCCGCTTTTAACGATAAATTCTGTCAATTTTTCAAACAGGCGTTTCTTGGGCCTGGAACGTCGCAGAGAGCTGAAAGTTGCTTTAAATGAAAGCTAAAGACTTGGCGCACAATCTCTATGTAATATAAATTGGTTTTGACAAGTGTTTTGTTTTTAAATCTAACATTAAAGTTTTCACTGCTACTTTTGTAACACTAAAACTTGTCAAAACTAATTTATTTTACATAGAGATTATGCTCCAAGTCTTTAGCTTTCATTTAAAGCAACTTTCAACTCTCTGCGACGTTCCAGGCCCAAGAAACGATCATTTAAAAAATTGACAGAATTTATCGTTAAAAGCAGGTAGTTTTCGATGTTGGCCGCTAGGAACGCCACCAGCGTCGCCATCTTGAAAGTGGCGTCAAAAAATCGCCCGTGAATTTTATTTTTCTCGTGTTCAGAATACCAGGAAAATAAACTTTATGGAACCCCTGTCGCCGTCTGGCGGTCCTCAAATAAACATGACAATTTTAATTAACTTTAAAATTAAAATTGACCATGTTCCCGTGGTCCTGGAGCAAAAACTCTTTCAGATTTGGAGTCCTCTCGCCGAGTACTGTCAGAATCTGCAATAAAAATTTTTTGGTTAGATTTTCAAAATCTGCAAGGCTATAGCCTTACAGATTTGGCCGATTTAACCAAAAATCTGACCTCCCCGTTTTATGGTCCCATTCGAAGCAGAACGCTTAGTGGAGTGTCCCTGCGCAAGCAGAACTTCGATAGCTCGAGTACTTCCCGAGATATCCGCATTTGAAGTTCTCGTTTTGGTATC